GGCGTGGTTGACTGGTTCACAAACCTTACTCAGAATGGCTTTTATGACCCTGTTGACCCTCTCTACTTGCCCGTTAGCCTGCGGGGAGGCCATGGCTACCTTCACATGGGAAACGTTTTGTTTGAGCAGGTAAGCGCCAAACTCCAGAGAGGAGAAGCAGGAGCCGCGGTCTGATACCAGGCGCCTTGGTCTGCTGTAATAGCTGAAGTACTTGCTTAGACAGGCTATAACCTCCTTTTGATGCTGGCGCAGTTTACGGGGTAAAGGAGAACGAATTTAGTGAATCCGCCGATGATGACCAGGATGTGTCTTCGTTTTGAGTTTACGCAGGGTAGCGGGCCAAAGTGGTCAACATGTACGGTATCGAAAGGTAGTGGCTGCTTGGGGATGTTATGCATATTAGGCTTATTCAGACGAGCAGTTTCTTACGAATCCTTCGACTTTGTCTTTCATTTCGCAGGTTCTTTCGGTGCCTAGGTGGCCAATCTTTTCGTGAATTGGCCTAGTGATATTATCTTCCATCTCCTCGGGTACATATAGCAGCAGAACCCCTTCCCCCGCTTTTTTAAAAACGAGACCGTCAACTAACTCGAAGTTCGGTACGGGTTCTCTTTCCAATTTTTCCCGGAACGTTTTTATATTTTCGTCGCGGTTTTGGGTGACCTGGATGCAAAAGTCTGTTTCGTCGGCATCTACGTCGAATAATACTTCGGAAGGTGTTTTCTTCTGACTGGGCTTATTGTGGACCGCGGTGGTTAGGGATTCGGTTGCAGCAGTGGCACTAGGTGCTGGGTAGCGACGAAGGGCGTCAACATGTCCCATGTTCACGCAACCTCACGCGGTACCTATTGATCGCATCGACATGAGCGCCTCTTGGGCGTATCCCTACAGAGCTAACGGCGTATCCTAAATATTCAATGGTATTAAAGCAAAGTTCGCACTTACTGAGCCTAAGCTCTAAACCCTTCTCCCCAATACTACGTAATACTATAGCTAGCCGTTCCATATGTGCGTCAAGATCGACCGTTGGCACAATTATGTCGTCCGTGTATACCATAATTAGTCCTTCGTCTATTAGGTCATTGAATATGTTGTGGGCGTACCGCTGAAAAGCAGCGGGAGAATTTTTCAGGCCAAATGGCATACGGAGGTACTCCAATTGGCCGTAAGGTGTAACGAACGGCGTGTATTTAACAGAGTTAGGCGCAATTTTCACGTGGAGAAACCACTTCGTAGATCTAGTGTTAAAAAAAAAATGTTTTTTCCCCTAAATAACCTAAGCAATCTTCAATTAGAGGCAGCGGGAAGTTGACCCGGACCGTTAATTTGTTTAATGGGCGGTAGTCGACGCATTTGCGAATCTCACCGTATTTCTTCCTGACCAACACAACAGCAGATGCATATGGTGAGTCGCTTGGCCTAATGATGTTCTTCTTTAACAATTCATCGGTTATTTTCCGTAGCTCATTATTCTCATAGTGGGATAACCGCCAAGATGTCGCGTGGAATGGTCTGTCGTTAGCTAAACTAATTTGCATTTGGTAGTTATATGGTTTTGACTCAATTCCATCTGCCTTCAGATAATGGTGCTGCAGTAATCTCTCAATGGCACTGATTTTGTTTTCTTCTAGTCCCTGATTTACGATTACCTCATCTGCGGAGGCGCATAGTTTGTCAGACGTATCTTTGCGAAAAAATACCCCTAAGACAACTCATCATACCGTGGTCGCTTCGTATCGTCTTGGTCGGAACTTAATTACATTTTTGAATTTTATTTTCACTTCAGTTTTTCCATGAGTAATCTTTGTTTCCCCAAGCCATGGTAGTTTGACTCTACGGGTGGCCTCTCAATTTTAAACGGTACAGCGGATTTTCGAACAAAGCTAGTTGGACTGCCGGTATCGAAAAGAGACAGACAATCTACAAATTTCTTGCGCTTAACTTGTTTTGCTAGATAGGCGACACTTACGATGTTTGTAGATCCTAACATCCGGTCGTAGCCATCGTCGTACTCGGCGTCCGTATCGACCGCGGCAACAGTCTTCGTCAGTATCATGGTTTTCTTCGGGTATGTACAGCTGCGATGGTCGTGGCCCAGTTTCCAGCAACGGAAGCAACTACCGTCGGGTCTCTTCTCGTACGGGCATTTGCTCCGGAAGTGCCCTATACGAGTGCAGTTGTAACAGCAACCTCTGTTTCGTCGGCCTTGGCTCTGGTGTTTTGTTTTGGCAGTTTCGTTTTATTGGTAGCACCGTGGCCGGCAGAGGACCGACATGAGCGCTGCCGTTCGTACAAGTCGAGGGCCTCTTTAAACTTGTCCATAGTGCGTGCGTTCAATAATATGTATTCCTCGGGTGAGCTGTCCTGTAGGACGTCGATGATGAAGTTGATTAGCTCGAATTCTTCAACGTGGTCACAACGAGCAGCTATGTTTTCCATGGCTGGCTAGGGCCTTGTAGATCTCGTGGCGGCATACCACCCGTCCGAACTCCTTAACCAGGAGTGCCTTAAGATCCTCGTAGCTCAAGACGTCTCGGCTCAACAGCAACTTGGCGTCACCGGAAATTGAATTGCATAGGCACGTGTATTTGAACAACTCGTCGGCTTTTACCATTGCATCACCCATTCAAAATTCCGCAAAAAATCATGAACACAGTGAACTTGGTTTTCACCATCGAATTTCTGAATTGTGTGTTTGATGTCGCGAAATCCCAAGCGGCTAGTCACATCTTGAGTCGGCTTTGGTGACCAATTGGCGTTTATTGCGATTTTGACCTCCTAGTGTTCGTGCCTGAGTGCAGCAACCGAGCGCTCTAGCATGAGGATCTCTTGCTATTTGCGCAGTATGGCGATCTTGCGGTCTAACTCTACTTCGGCTGCGGTGAGACTGCCAGAGAGCGGTGCTTCGGCGTCTTGGGCTTTTGTGTTAACATTCTTGCCAGTAATGGCATCTGTATCAGCACGAATCGCAGCGGTAGCGTTGCGCTTGGCGTCGATGGCGGCGTCGGGTTTTTCGACGAAAGCTTTGGTTTGATCAGCTTCGACATTTGCATCAAGTGGATTTTTGGGGCGAGCATATGGACCAGCGATTACATCAGCTTTGGTGGTGGCGGCGGTGCTTACAGAGCCGGTGGCACCGGTATGCTCGGGTTTAGCGGCGATTTTATCAACGATGTCGGCAGCGACATTTTGAGCGCCGAATGGAAAATCTTTTGTAGTCGAAGTTTTGGGGCGAGAATATGGGCCAGCGGTTATATCGGTGGTGGCGGCGGTGCTTGAGATGTTGGCTGTAGTGTTTAAGATGGCGGTGGCCGCGATGTCCTCGGGTACAAACAAAATCTTTTGAGGCGGAAATCATTGACCATGTGATAGGCCTGGTCGAAAAATCACCAGCTTTGTCAGCGTTCTTATTTGCTGTGTTGGATTTTTATTTATCAGCTATAACTTCGAAAACATAAGTCACATGAACTTGAAATCTGGTATGCAGACCAGTCTTGCCATTTTAGTCGTTTTCCGGCCGGTTGCGATAGCACACAGGCGGAGAAATTTCGGTTTAGCCGGAAGCCGATTTGTTAGCCATTTTGTAAAAAAAATTAGCCGTTTTTAGCCGATTTTGCTATTTACCTTGTTTTCCCAGAAATTATTTTACGCTAAGAGAAGGATAGATATCTACTATATATTTGTGGAAGTATATTAGGGCGGGTCGATTTAAAAATCGCTCATTGCTCTGTGAAAATCGTATTCTAGGGATCAAAATAAGAAACTTTGCCGAAGGAACCATACCTCTAAAACGAATTCTGATGTCCCCCAATTTGGGTCGAACTTTTGGGTAGGGGCAAATTTTGAAAAATCCCACTTTGACCCATTTAGAGTGCTCCAATCGAGTCCAAATGTATGAACGACCCCCACTAACTTTGGACGGCCGATCCACCCATGCCAGTGGCACACCCCCTGGAACTCCCCTGGGGGGTTCCCCATACAATCATTTAAAAAAATCACAATTTTTGGCCTTTACATGAAAAAATCAGCTAAATGGCTATGTTTTTTCTTTATTTTTATTTATTTATTTATAATAATATTTATTATTTATTTATAATAATATCTATTTTTTCTCTTAAGAAATTTATTTAGTCAGAACATATGTAAAGAAAAAATTTATTTAAGTGAGTTATAGAAAAGAAACTAAAAAAAATTATTGTTTGAAGTCTTTTTTACTTTCAAGTCTGGGCAATTTCGCACGGCTCTCCAATGTCGTCGCCATAACAGCCTCTACATTGTCCGGTATAACCCGTTTGGAAACGCTAGCTAGCAATTGAACATGTCGTTCCGTTCCTTGTATGTGTGATGGAATTTTTGGATCATTAAACGGTGGATCATCTTGATTTAAATATTCTTTCAATGTATCGTACGGAATGCTTCGCGTGAATGGTGGTTCAAATACGATATTTATATCATTCAAATTGATCATTTCCGTATAACTTGTGCAATTAAAGTTTATATCTGGTTTTTTATAAACTCTCAAGTTCCATTGGCTCGTCAACATCGGTTCGATAGCGTATAATTTTCTTGATGGCACAGTCGCGCTTTTCTTTGCTATCATCAAACAACATTGATAACAAGATATTTTCCGAATGCGCATAATATGAATTATCTTTAATTACTTGATTGACAATTTTGCGTAAACGAGGTTCTAGAAATCGTGACCAACCAATGAACTTGAAAAATAATGCACTGCCGTACACGACAGAGCTGTAATACTTGATATTGGAGTACATTGGCACATAACATTTAATTATAAATTCAATCAGAATTCTTAAATTTGCATCTGGATTTTCCGTTGTCACATATAATCGCAATAATCTAGCGGCCTTGGTGAGCTACCGATAATGTACAATTTTCCCTGGTTTGATGTTAGCCAGATCCACCTGAACCACGCCACTAGAAATTGCATGGGGCATGTCGTATAAGTACTTCGAATCGGTGGAAAATTCAATTTTTTCTGGAGCAGGGGGCATATTTTGCAACTCAATTTTCTGGAAGCCGTCCACCACCTGAAAATATATAATAATAAAATAATTAAAAATGGTTGACAATTATAATAAATGAGTGATAGCAATAACTTACCGGAAGAGTTTCACAAGTTTCGATTTGACGGCTCAGTTTTCCGGTTGCCGATCTTGGTCCAGTGCTGGTTGATTTATCCAAAGCTTCAAACAAATGCCGAAACGGAAGTTCGTTGTAGTGTAGAAGGCAAACGAACCAATGCAATGGTCTTTTTAACAGCAATTCGAATCGTCGTATAATTCCACCGTGTGGGCCAGTGTTTGTTGGCTCACCGTCAGTGCATATTCCAATTAATGCATCCAGTGATATATTTTTATCGTTGAAAAAACCATTTAATTTGGTTGTTTTGTATTCAGCGGTTTCATGTTCCAGTCTTACGTAACCAATCAATTCAGAATTGGTTCTCTCAAAATAACAAGATGAGGTTCTTTTACCATCCTAGTATGATACTTCTCATCAATTTTATCTATCGTTAAAGTATCATCTTTTCTGCCATCGAATGAAAACGCTAACAAATTGGTATCATCTAACCGTTTGCGAAGCACTTCTTGTCTGCATTTCTCTTTTTCTCTGCGAACTTTCGATTTATCCATGATGAGAGGTTTCCCATGCTTATCTTTAATTTTAAAATATTGCAAAAGAGCGGTTCCCAATGCTGATGCTACTCTGTCAGGCACACCAAATCTGTCACATACCAAGGCAAAGTTAAAACAATCGTATCTCTCTGTGTATTGTGAACTTGTGCTTCTATCCATATCTTCTTGAACCGGTGGCGGTGCGTATGTTGAATCATCGGGATCTTGGTATGTTGGCATTGATGACATAGACGTTGCTCCTTGCTCTTCAGTTTCCATCACAAATGCATCCATTGTTAGTCTTCTCTGATTATGTTGATCGTGCATGAACTCTTTGAGGCGTTCGGGAACCCAGCCGCATGCACATGGAGCTGCCTTCAAATCGCATTTACATGTTCCAATGTAAAAAATTGTTTCCAGAGATTTTACATACTCTGTAAATTGTTGGGTTTGTTTCTTCTCTTGATTTGCTCTTGATACTTGTCAAGCAATTTATTCAATTTATTAAATACACTTTTTTTCAGCATTATTTCCATACCAAGTTTTTCCCAAATTCCAATCAACTTATCTTGTACTTGAATAGTGAATGATTTATGGGAAAACTTTTTTTGTTCTGTTTTAGCACGTTCGCTTAAGTAAAAATAATATCTCAAGATATCCAGATGGGTTGGTAAATTAAGATCAGTTAAATCAGTAGACACACCAAAAACAGTAACATCATGCTTGGGTATATGACTCATTGGGTTTTCGATAGTTGTTGATGTAGTTGCTTCATCTTGCGGTGTAGAGGATGGTGGATTCATTGTAAACTTTTTGATTTGGAATGGTCACTTCACTTATTATATTTTTTGAAATATTTTTTTATCTGAAATTAGCACTTCACACTTTGAGTTCTTCACAACGACTTAATGCATTCACAAAAACTGTTGCGTTATATATGGTCTACGAGACGAGGTAATAAGAATGAAATGGTAATTTCAATTCTACCTGCTGTGTCTTGTGGTGGCTTAAAAAAAACAACACAAGCAATTTTACGATCTGCGATTGTGTCACAGTGATACCTTCATTGCTTAAAAGGGTTGCGGTGCATTCCAGTGATACCTTAATTGTTAAAATGGTTGCAAAAAACGCGCATTTCTTAAGAAGGTGCCTTAAAATACCCACAAAAAGGGTTGTAAAAACAACCTTCATTTCTTAAGTAGGTGCTATAAAAAAACTACACAAGTAAGTTTACGACATGCAGCTGTGTCTTAAAAAACGCACACAAGCAATTTTCCGATTTGCAATTGTGTCAAAGTGATACCTTCATTTTTTAAAACGGTTGAATAAAAAACCCACACAACTATGTTTACGACATGCAAATGCATCACAGTGATGCCTTGTTTTAAAAGGGTTGTAAAAACGCTAATTTCTAATAATTTTTTTTAATTTCTTTTCTGTTACTAAGTTAAATTCATTTTTTCATTTACATATGTTCTGACTAAATACATTTCTAAAAAGAAAAAACATAGCCATTTAGCTGATTTTTTCATGTAAAGGCCAAAAATGGTGATTTTTTGAAATGATTGTATGGGGAACCCCCCAGGGGAGTTCCAGGGGGTGTGCCACTGGCATGGGTGGATCGGCCGTCCAAAGTTAGTGGGGGTCGGTCATACATTTGGACTCGATTGGAGCACTCTAAATGGGTCAAAGTGGGATTTTTCAAAATTTGCCCCTACCCAAAAGTTCGACCCAAATTGGGGGACATCAGAATTCGTTTTAGAGGTATGGTTCCTTCGGCAAAGTTTCTTATTTTGATCCCTAGAATATGATTTTCACAGAGCAATGGGCGATTTTTTTGCCTCCCCACAAATCGACCCGGCCTAATGTATATATGTATGTGCCAGGTTGCAGCCTAAAAGGACGGACAGAATCGAACGAAACTTTTGCAGAGTATTGCCATTACACCTGGACCTATGATAGGGAGAAATGGGATTCGACAAGGGGGCGTGGCACATCCCATAGGCGTGAAATTTTTTATCAGTTATAACTTCGGAACCATAAGTCACATGAACTTGAAATTTGTTATGCAGGCATAGCTACGGTAGGTGCTTATAGTAAGCTGTATATGAATGAGTTTATAAAAGGGGGAGTGGCACATCCCGTAGGCGTGGAATTTTTTTCAGCTATACCTTGGGAGCCATAGGCCCCACGAACTTGAAATTTGGTATGCAGGCACAGCTACGGTAGGTGCTTATAGTATAACGAGTTTATAAAGGGGGGTGTGGCACATCCCGTAGGCGTGGAATTTTTTTCAGCTATACCTTGGGAGCCATAGGCCCCACGAACTTGAAATTTGGTATGCAGGCACAGCTACGGTAGGTGCTTATAGTATAACGAGTTTATAAAGGGGGGTGTGGCACATCCCGTAAGCGTGGAATATTTTATCAGCTATAACTTCGAAACCATAAGTCACATGAACTTTAAACTTGGTATACAGGCGTATCTATGGTAGGTGCTTATAATAAGGTATATATAAATAAGTTTGTAACAGGGGGCGTGGCACAGCCCATAGGCGCGGAATTTTTATCAGCTTTTTTTGGTATACAGACATATCTACGGTAGGTGCTTATAATAAGGTATATATGAAGAAGTTTGTAAAAGGAGGCGTGGCCCGCCACATCTTGTAGACGTGGAATTTTTTATAAGCTATAACTTAAAACCATAAGTCACATGAACTTTAAATTTGGTATACAGGCGTATCTATGGTAGGCGCTTATAATAAGGTATATATAAATGAGTTTGTAAAAGGGGGCGTGGCACATCCCATAGGCGCGGAATTTTTATCAGCTATAACTTCGAAATCATAAGTCACATGAACATGAAATTTGGTATACAGACATATCTACGGTAGGTGCTTATAATAAGGTATATATGAAGAAATTTGTACAAGGAGGCGTGGCCCGCCACATCCCGTAGATGTGGAATTTTTTATAAGCTATAAATTCGAAAGCATGAGTCAGCTGAACTTTAAATTTGATATGCAGGCATAGCTATGGTAGGTGCTTATATTAGGCTATAAATAAATGAGTTTGTAAAAGCGGGCGTTGCACATCCCATAGGCGTGGAATTTTTTATTAGCTATAACCTCGGTACCATAAGCCCCACGAGATTGAAATTTGGTATGCAGGTATAGATATGGTAGACGCTTATAAAAATATATATATAAATGAGTTTAGAAAAGGCGTGGAAAATGTATCAGTTATAACTTCAAAACCATAAGTCACATGAAATTGAAATTTGGTATGCACACATATCTATGGTAGGTGTTTATAGTAAGGTATATATAAATGGGTTTGTAAAGGGGGGTTGTCACATCCTTTAGGCGTGGAATTTTTAACCAGGCGTAAATTGGGAGCTATAAGTGACATGAACCTGAAATTTGGTACGCAGACATACATATGTATGGGAGGTGTTTAGAATAAAGTATATATAAATGTGTTTGTAAAAGGGTTATAAATATGTATTTAACAATAAGACCACTCGGATATTTAAAACTGCGTTTTTTTTGAAACCTTACAGTCTTTAGAGCATTTTGAAATTGAAAGATTAAATCATTTTATTGATCCCGCGATGCTGTCAAACGAAACATGTTCATGTATAATGAATGATGCATTTTACTGGAAAAGTGCAGCTATACTAAAACAGCTTAGCGAATAGGAAGCTAAACGGAATGTACCATAGTAGACTAATTTTAATTTAAAAATTCTATCGTTTCCTTAATCCAGTTAATATTAATAATGGAACAAGATTTTTAGTACAGAAAGTGATGATCAATATATATTAGTTGAAGTACGATAAAGCTAAAAGTATGGCTCATAAGGATGCCTTAATTTAAACAGAAAGAAAATATCCTCTAATTTATGCTGAACTGAATATTTGCATTACTGTTTTATATTTTGATTTGTTTACCCCGAACGACGTCGAGTGCTCTGCTAGTATTTTCATGAAAAATAATAAACATTAAATAAATTAAGGTAAAATAGACAAAACTTTATATTTGGGTCACTGTATTTTTTTCCAAAGAAGGAAGGGGCTTTCTACATACAATTTTTGTAATAAATGTCTTTAATTTAAGTGCGAAATGTTATTCGCAACACTTAGAAAGTAACTAATGAGAATAAAATAGCACGATTTTCGATGTGAAGAAAAATTCACTGAGAATAATTGTATCAGAGAGCAGAGAGTGAGGAGGTCCTTAAAAACAAGAATGTTTCGAATATATGGACATCAAAATAAAATTAAATACTTTAATTGTTAAAAACTTAAAAGCTTCGATATACATACATAAATGAATGGCGATTTCTTTTCTCGAAATAATGTGGCCCTTTTTCCCTCTGCACTTTCACAGATTTACAAGTTCATTTCTCAAAGTATTGCCCTCCGACTAAGCAAATAATATAGCCATTTTTCAGGACAAAAAGTAACCTAGTGAAAATGTTACAATATAAGGCACCATTTTTCAATAGGAAAAAAAACGTCGTAAGTTTGCAAATAATCTGTTTTTTTTTTTTATTTAATATAAACATGATTTCTGATGCAGAGCTTAGCTAGGTATTACGACAGATTCCTTTGATAAACAAAAATAATTTGTAATGAATTTACAGTCTCTCTACTCGTGATTTATTTAAATAAAGCATGTGAATTTTAGTTGAAACATTTTAGTCGTTTTAGCAGATTTTTTTGCCAATTTAACCCATCGGCCCAAAAAGTTCTCGCATTCTCGCAACACTGGTTACAGCCCAAGCCGTTTCACTAGCGGGGCAAATGCAGCGGAATTAAACAAAAAAATCGGAAAATTTTTAACTAATTTTTTGCTAATTAATTACCAAATACAAAAATTTCTAACCAATGCCGTTACCCCGTCAACCCTATGTCCGCTAGCGAAATTGGTCATAACTCATGTTATAATTATCAAAAAAAAATCTTTTAGGGCACACAATTTTTGGCTCGGGGAATACTTTCCAGTAAATAAATAAAAAAATTAAAGAAAAAAATTCTTCAAAATAAACAAAATTTT